AGCTGCCTCGCCCCAACACCAGTGATGACTGCAGTGGGTCTTCAGCAGCACCTGTATGAACCAGCTCTTCTCTTCTCTGTTTCCCTTTTTCCCACACAGGTGTCCCAACGAATTTACTGGTGATCGCTGCCAAAACTATGTAATGGCCAGCTTCTACAGTAAGTCCTCTTTTCCTCTTTCTTCTCATTTTGGACAATGTCTACTACCACCTAGACTGTTCTGATTTATTTAATGCTTTGGATCAGTGATTGATGGAATTAAATATTTTTGCATGCTTAAATGTTTCAGTTTGATCCAGCCTTACAATGTGTAATTGTTAGTGGAAATTGTTTCACTTTACTTTAAAAATGTGATCATTTTATTAACTATTAGTGATGGGTAGGGGCTCCTTTATGTTCATGTTTGAATTATTCAACAGAGAAAGTCTTGACATGTTACTTTATTTACAGCAGCTCAAGTCAATTTAAATTTAAAGCAGATACACACACAACATGAATCATTAAGAGCGTGAGTGAGTGTGATGCAAAGAATGGGGTCATTGTGAAGGACGTATTCACTTATGAATAGTTAATGAATGAACAGAGGGAAGAGGGAATGAAAGGATCAGAACGCTATGACAAGGCAAATTAAAATGATTTAACTGCTTATATTGAATAATAAACAGCATTACGGTCTATCATTCTGCAAAAATAGCATTTTCACAGCATTCATGAACAGGCTTTTTTGTGCTACCATAAGCTAGCTTAAACAAACATTTCATTTCTGAAGTTGTTCCCACAAATTCAGAAGGTCTTACTGAACATGAGTTTTTTCTGTGTTGGGTTTTGGTCTTTGGGTCTGTTTGTACATTTGTCATTGTGGGTATATACAGAAAGTTTAATTTTAAAGAAAAAAAGGCTCTCTGCTGTTCCATGTGGATTCCAACTTCTCTGACTCTGATAGAGTTGTTTGTATATTCAATCCAACTTTATGACCTCAACCTTTTAGCTGATTCTGATTGGACCATTTGGGTTAGACTGGTTATAGTCCACCAGCCTCAAAGTTTCTGAGGGTGATGAATAAAAAAAGCCTTGTTTGAAAAGAAAAAAAAGTTTAAAAAAAAAACTGCAATAAGTAAATCACAATAAATATCATTGCAAAGGATTTTAAGGGATGCAGTCCAGTTTGAGGAAATGAGAATTCTCTTTATTGTGACACGCTCCTAATTCAATCAAATGAATTTACTGGTGAAAGTCATAAACACAAGTACTGAGGAAACTGGTTGTAATTAAGCTTCTCTTTGATCCAATCCCCCATCATGAGCACGCAGTAAATTAATGTGGAAAGAAATAAATGGGCTAGATTCTGGGAGGCCTGCCACCGTCGGGGTTGAGACGACATGAGAGGGAAAACAAAACCTCCGGCTCCAGGAGAAAGGTCAACCATGGACACGGAGAGTTAAGAGCTGCGTAATGATGAATTCCAGGTAGTCTGGAGCTACAGCATGGACATAAATCAAGGCTTAAGCTGCCATTAGACTTTTAGAAACCTTAGTAATCATAATAATGGGAAAATATAGATTATGACACCACAGAGTCTGGCCGTTCAGAGCTTTATACGTAGTGAAAAGATGTAGCTAATGAGGATTAGTCAAAGCGGGAAATAGATGTGTCTGTCTGACACTTTTATTGGATAACTGGGAAGGGGCGTGGGCTCATTGGAGATCCTCGTCATCACTAAGCTCATTAAAACCTACGTGTACACAGACATTAAGCTAGAAAATCTCAAACTTTGGCCATTTATATGACGCTCCCATCATTCCAAAAGCAATTAAATGAAAAGTAATGAAAGCTCCTGAACGTGAACCATTGGAACTTTTCTGATTACGGCTCTCAGGGAAGCCGAGGCTAATCTGATGAGGATGTAGTTAGAGCAACATATGGTGGCTAGAGCCAGCTAATCTAACGCCGAGGTGCCTAAGACCCAGTGTGTGTTCGTGATAGGGTCAGATCCAGTGCAGCAGGGCTTTGCATTTAAAGGTCAGCGTCCAATTTAGCAAATACAAAACAGCAAAAACTGCCAAGAAGAAAATGAATAATAAAATAATAAAGATAAAAAACAATGGAGAAGAGGGAAGACTCTCACAGACACTTAAATGTCTCCTCAATGTAATATTCGATGGTCCAGACATTTATTTCTCGATCTCCAAATAAAGCCCCTCAGTTCTCTGAGCATCTGTTTACTGTGTGTTGCACCTCCGTTAACGCTCACACAGACCAGAGCTCCCCTCCACTCCCCCGTGTGTCTGCAAGGATTCTCAAGTCATCATGAAACGTCCTGCTTAGGAGACAGCTGCTGCCAAAAGCAGAAATCTAACGTGTGTTTTCACGTATCTGAACAAAGTGTGAGCGTGAGCGTGCATGGTGGCGTGCAGGAGAAGAGCTGGATCTCCAGCTCCCCTCTCCTCTGGTCTCCCCTCTAAAAGCGGTGAATGTCTGCGGTGGAGTCAGCTGAAGGAAGCTTGATGCCATCTCTTTCCATCCAGGACCAGTTTCTCTGTCTTTTTGAAGTTCAGATGGAGGTAGCTGTCATCAGCTCCAGCCATCTGGATTCTTACCCTCTTTCCAATATTCAAATCAGTGTCATCATCTACACAATCGCTGGTGAATCGTCCGCACTCCTTCAGCTAGCTTTGCTAAGACTAGCTAACACATCCAGGTGCTGTTAGTCTTCAACCAGCAGCTTGTTAGATGTTGATCTGCTACCTGAGGTAGAAGCACTGGTGTCACTTTTACCTCTTGTGCACTTTACTTGGAAGTGTTGTATCCCAAACACAATTTCGTTGCCTTTTTTGACAATGACAATAAATTATTGAATTGAATTGAATTGAATTTTCTCAGTAAATAGTCATTATTTAAAGACGTGTCTGTCTGGTGACTCTGCCTGGCTGTGGACGGAGGTTTCCTGATGGTGGAGACACGTGCAGGTGGACGGGCTGCTGGTCTGCTGGCTGGGATCACTGGAACTGTTGTTGTTGACCGTCTAGTTAGATGTTGTTATCGTTATAAAAGCTGTCACAGATTCAAAATGTAACAGTGTTAATGTCAGCAGCATCATTTCAGGTGGGAGGAGCTGAGCAGAAATGAGACATAAAGAACTTTAACACAACCAGGGAAGCTTTCTTTGACACTGCATTTTCATTTACTACAACAACGTTTGATTTTTTGAAGGCAAAAGAGAAAATATTGTCTAGTATGTTTGTGAACAGAAGCTGAACTGGGGCTGTTTTATGAGCAGACAGAGAAAAATATGATTTAAAGCTACTAATGTTCCTTCAGATTACATCCCGACAAATATAGAAAAACCTGTCAAATCATCACCTCTACTTCCTACTGCAGAGTAGCTCTTCAACATTTTTGGTTTGGCTGCAGAACGTAGAAGTCTCTATATCTAGATGAACTTTCTGAAAAAACAAACATATTTTTTAATCCTCTGTGCAGAATTTTTTTCAGAGGTACTTCAAATGCATCTGCAAGAAACTCCATGGATATCCACAGATCGAGTTTTAAAATAACTGACATCATAATAAAGGGAACTTTCTCATCACTTCACAAAGTCCATGTTAGTCCTGGATGTAGTGTTGTATCAGAGGACATGCTGGAAATGTAAACTTACAGAGCCTTTTCTTGCCTGTGTGGTAGATTTGTGTTTGTCTGTGTTGTACACCTGAACATTTCAAGAATGATTGTTCTCTTTTTCAGAAGCTGAGGAGCTGTATCAAAAACGTATTTTAACCATAACAGGAATCTGCATTGCACTCCTAGTGGTTGGAATCATGTGTGTGGTTGCCTACTGCAAAACAAAGTAATTCACACTCTAAGTTTGTTTTTATTGGTAAAGTAAAAACACCTACCCTGATTTACTCTGACATTATAATGTGTGAACCCGAATCACATTTAGTCTATCTGAGACCCAAAATGTCAATATTCAGTACCCCAAATAACAAACGGCCCAGAGCGTACTGAACATTTAGTTATTGTTCTCTTATCTCTGGGTTAGAGGTGGACTCAGAAGTTAGAAATACACATTATATGTTGACATCATGGACTAATTTACAGCCAAAACTAATTATATGAGAGAAGTTTGGGGACTGTAAAACTGAGTATTTCTCTAACTGCATTCTGCATTAAACCCAATAAAGTACAAAAGAATATTCAGTCCGTGCATGACATTTAACATTAGTTTGTGTCTATCTACAGTATCAGAAAAAGTTTGGACACCTCAATTCATAGGTTGCTTTGCCTTTTGACAATTTTATTACAGACAAAGACGAACAAATTAATTTTCAATAATTTGGTAGGAAAAATCTATTACATTTTTTTTTACTCCTTATTTGGTCAAATTGACACAAAGTGAACTTGTCATAACTTTGGTTTTTGTAATATCTTGTTTTTTCCGACCAAGACTGAACACAGACCTGTCTGTGATGATACATCAACACATGTTCCTCTAATCCAAACTACAGTAGAAATAATGAATAGTTCCTGCAGCTTTTCCTCCAGAATGAAGCTTCATTCCCTGGAAAAACTTTGTGCTGCTGTGTTGAAACAGGTCCACTAAAAGCTGGAACTCAGAGTTTTGGATCATTTTAGACTTCCTGCTTTGGGAAACAGTCACTTTGACTCTGGAGGGAAGAAAACGGATTTGATTTTTTAAATAAACTCTGTTTTACACTGCTGACGGCTGTGCACACTCGCTCTTCCAGATACTTTGATGAATAGATAACCTTAAAGATAAGAGTTGTTATTCACATCAGTCATCTTCATGTCACCTCACGATAAACGTTGTCAAACCAGAAAAGTGCCAAAACTTTGAGTGTGTTTGAATGGAAAAGCATGAAATGTTGTTTGAATTCTTCCACTCAGGAAGAAAACTCCTGGACAGAAGGACCAAGACTCCTGTTAGAACAGGTTACCATTCTTAGATAGTTTCAGATCAGTCTGGTTCTAGTGGCAGACCGAGTCCAGAGTCTGAACAGGAAGTGGGTCAGTTAAAGGAGGAGAATGAAAGCCAAACTCTGTATGTTTGCTGTCTGGGCTGCTGCATGTTGGAAACTGTGTAAACGGTTTCCTCTGAGTGGAGATGTGGTGGGGGGTATGGGGGGGGGTCTGCTCTGGTGTGACTGCTATTATTTCTAAATCCAAACTTAATCTGCATCATCTGCAGCCACATTTCATCCCACCTGTCCTGACAGCTCTGTTCCTGGTGTTTCCTGATCTCCAGGTCTTGGCTCCGTTGTTTTTTAAAGCTGTGTCATGACTCTGAGATGTTCTCAGCTCCAGCCGTCTGGATCCCTGTGCTCCCACCTGCTGGTGGAGCTCATCCATCCCCCCAGCATCCCTCCATCCATCCTATAACTCCTCCCCGAATGGAAATAATCATTTCCTTTCATTGTTCTCTGTCATTTCTTTCTTACCCGTCCATCTTGTTTTATGTTAGGTGTTTATCCTTTTTTCTTTTACTTGACTTTTATCAGAATGGTTGATAAAGCTCTTTACCTGCCCATGTCCCCCAGTTCAGTCCTGTGCTCTGGATTGTGACTTTAGTAAGAGGTCAAAATATGATTTAAAGATGATTTCATGATGAAATCATGAAAATCGAAGAATAAGTGTGCATAGCTTTCATCAAAGTAAAAGGCAGTCATTTGTAATAAAGCTAAAATATGACATGTTTGCTCATGATCGTCAGGTCTGTGCTGTACAAACAGTACAGTAACATAAATGTACAATACCCCATATAGTTATAAAGTTCCAGTTATTAGTGGAAAGAAATATGGCATAAGAACACAAAACAATAAAAGCATAAAAACGTAATCGTGGGTGTGTCCAAACTTTTCCTAATACTGAACATGTATGAGGATATGTTGGGTAATAGTTATCTGGGTGTTTTCACTTTTTGTTGTTTTTTCACAAACAGGAAGCAAAGGAAGAAGCTACACGAGCGGCTGAGGCAGAGCCAGAGGAAGAGGAAGAACAACCCCCCCTCTGGCCCCCGCAGCAGCCAGAAGAGCTCTGCCCCCGGACACCCCCCCTCTAACGTGCTTCTGCAGGATCTGAAGAGCATCAATGTAAGCTGTGAGATGCAAATCTGTCTGTCTGCAGACTGCAGGAAGCTAAGGATGGATATCCAACCCCACCCACATGCAAGGCGGCCATTTTGATTAGGTCTCCAATAGGAAGATCCCAGGCAAGAAAATGGTCATTGTTTCATGGCAATATAGACATTAATTAAAAAATAGTGAAATGAATCTTGCAAACACTGAATTAAACTCTATCCATAATATTATGTTAAAATAGTGGATGTTAAATAGGTTTGTACAATAAGTCCAAACAAAATTAACCCCCAAATATTTATTTCTCACAATTATGAAGGGTTAGGGTTGGAGTTAGGACATGGTTTATCTTCCGATTTCGTATAGACAGTAACCTGAGAAAGCTGCCAGTCACATGACCCAATCAAAATGGCCGACTTGGATGTGGGAGGAGCTGGACATCCAGCCGAGGCTCCTGCAGGTGAGACGGACCCTGAGAGGGACAACTGTCCACCTGCTCTGTCTGGCTCTCCTCAGCCGTGTAACGGGGGGGTGACGCAGTACGCAGCCGAGGACCCCGAGACCCCCCTCCCCACGAGCAAATACGCCTCCCCCCTCGAGCCCACCACCTTCACACACATCTCCAGCCAGAGGTAGAGCTCACACACCACGTTTCCCACAGACACAGAAATGTAGAGTTCATCTGAAGCCTAGCTCTGCTTCACTGACCCTCACTGACCCTCGCTGACCCCCGCTGACCCTCACTGACCCTGTCTCCACAGCTGGAGTGATGACTGGAGTGCTGTGTCGGAGACGGAGTCCTTCTCTGTGAATTCACTGGCGGAGAGCAGCCAGCGCGCCCCCCCCGGCGCCCCCCCCCGGGGGCGGCTGAACGGCACGGCGGGGGCCGGGGACCTGACCAGAGACACGGCCAGTCCCAGCAGGAGTTGCCTTAAAGCCCAAGGTAATCCACGAGCACCAATCAGGATACAGCGCCCCCCTCTGACCAGCAGGGCTCTTTTCATTCAGAGTTTATCAGGTTAAACGTCAGTCAGATCATTTAAAAAATCCCCTTAACTGTCAAATGATTTCCATCTGGGGATTATCTGTGGTTACCCAAGTACTCGGAAATAGCTTTGGAAGATTTTTAGACAGCTGGCTAGCACAAATGGCTGTAATTTTAAAGACTGGACATAATCTCAATTCAAGCACCAAATCCCACCAGCATCCTCCCTTAACACCTTAAATATTCAATCCATTCAAGCCTGTTAGAGTCAGTTATTACTGTTCAAGAGCCAAACATTCCCTTTATAACTATAAGAGATGCAGTAGTGAGCATTCAGAAACGGTTCCAGTTGTCTGTGTTTCTTTGAAACAAATCTTCTTCCTTCATTAATTATATACTTCATCTATTCTTTTCCGTTATTACATTTATTTTACATCAGTAACATCATATAGAAAATTGAATTTAGATCAAATGATAGCTTTGTAAAAGAGACCAAAGCCAGGAGGAAGTCAGCAAATGATCTGCTAAGTGTCAGACTGTGAACAGAAAACTATTCATTTGTGAGGAATGTATGTAAATGTTTAGTGCAAGAAGCTGTGATTTGGTTATTATTTCTTTCTGCAGCATGCAGGTTGCAGAAATGCCTCTATTTCAGATAAACATGCAGCTTATTGGAAGCTTTTATGTTATATTGCTTGAGACAGTTTTTAACATTTTTTTTAGAGGGATTATTTAATCAAAATAACTTTTTTTGTCTTTTGGCAATTCAGAAAGTTGTTGGTTATTGATGCCTGAATAACATGGAGCTTAGCAAAATGCTAATGTGGAGCTCTTACTTTCATGTCTGCAAATTAGGGCATCACTACAAACCATTTAAATTAGAAAAAAGTTTTATTTGCAACACAGGGTGACACAGATTTTAGTGAACGCTTGGAAGCAGCTTTGCATACGTTCTGAGTTTTTTATTTTCTATTCAGAGTTTTGTCTGTGTGTTCCTGCAGGTCTGTGTCTGCCATGAGGAGCCTGTCAGAGTCCAGACCTGTTCCCAGACCCCCGGCTCCCCCCCCCCACAGACCTCGTCCCTCTCCGTCCCCCGGTGGCTGTGACCCTTCACCCCCAGAGGAGCGCTCCTGTCCAGCACCGGTCCTCAGAGCTGGAGTTTTCCCAAAAGTTTTCCCAAAGCTTTCCGGCCACGCGGCCTCACGCAGAAACCCAAATATCCCCCAAACAAATATCCCTAACCAAATATCCCCAAACGTCCCGCCGGCCTCCTCAGACTCTGCACTGTTTCAGAAAGGACTCCTCAAACTGTTCTAGTCCAAAAGAGCCACTCGCTATGTGCTGCGTTCTTACCCCCCCGGGGGGGGGGCCCCGGGGGGGGGGGGGGGCGAGCCCACCCAGCCTCATTACTCACTGCAGACGGAACTAACCCCACACCCCCAAACGCCTCGCCCCCCTCCCAAACCAGATCCAAGTGATTGTATAAAACCCTCGCTTAAAATCCTGGATGCTGAGAAGCGGAAAAAAAAAAAATCCTCACCTTTAAGTTATTACTTTCTATAGATTATCTGCTGTGTAAAGACTTCTAAAGATCATTCAAAAATTCAACTTATTTTAGAGATGTAGTGAATAAAGAGTTTTATAAAAAAGAAAAAAAACAAGTGCACAGAGGTGGTGGTGTGTTGCAGGTGAAGTGCCATAAACTCAGAAGCCCTTTTTCTCCAGCAGGAAGTGCAGCTGCTGCCTTTAGTTGGGATGTGAGGGAAGCTGGGGTTTGTCGGTGTTATGTTTGGTTCTGGACTATTTCACTAAATCTGAAAAAAGAAAAAAAACGGAATCACCTAATCAGCGAGGACGGCTGTGTGTGAGTTCATTACAATAAGTCCCTCACCCGGGTTTGATCAGATAGAGAAAACAGACTTTTTTTCTTAGTCACTGCACTCCATAGTAGATTACCTGCCCCCCCCCCCCACTATCCAGCCACTGAACGGACATCCATAGCTGTCAGAGTAAGGACAGCTGCCAACATCTGCATTGTGTTTCTGCTTCCAGCTGCAGTGTCCTCCAAAAGCTCACCTTTTTCTCTCAGCCCCCTCTGCTCCTCCATGCTAAACGCTCACTGTGAGCATTCTAAAGCCAGAGCCATTTCACACACCGCTGTTCCACCAAGTCAAAATCATAGGACTCTTTATATGTAGTCCCCTTTGTTTTAGGGCCCCTCAGTATTTGGGATAAAGTAACAGTAGGTGCTCATGTTTAGGACTTAGGGTTAGGTTGTAAATCCTAATGGCTTCTGAATCATGTGAGAAGCAGAGGGGGAACTCAGAGAAAAATATGACTTTTGCAAACACCACTGAGGGTAAAGTCTTTTACAAATGATATATTAGATTTTACTGAAGAATATTTGGTATAGCATCTCTATGTTTTGAAGAACAGCACTTCTATAATACCATCCAATACCATTTAGCAGTAAACAAACACAATGCAAGCAGGAAATGATGCAGTTTGGACGTTTTGTTTCCTAAAGTGTTGCGTGTGCGACTCAAAAGGCCAAAACTTTGGCCCCTGACCTCCCTACAGGTAAGCCAGCAGGCCGTGTGGACGTCCAGAAGAAGAGGAATGCCAGTGTGTGTGAGCAGCAGCACTTTGTAAACTCTCCGGAGGAGGGGCGGTTGTGTGGATAAAGAGGGCTGAATGTACTGTATGCATAGTGGTGAAATGTTTTAGGTCACGTCTGACACATAGAAATTCTATTTGCTACAGATTCCGGAAATTGTACGCGTTTGTGTTGATTTGCCCAAGCTTTGATTCAAATATGCAGTGTCTCTGTGTGTGTGATTAAAAAAGACTAATTAGAAATTATTTCTTATAAAGTTTGAATATTCTTGGGATGGAACTAAAGGCCAACTGCTCAAAGGGAAGAAGGATATCGTCCTTTTGGGTGTACATTACTGATTGCATTTCATGTTTGTTCTTATATTATACTTCCATTCTGAGCCATGCATACATACATACATACATACATACATACATACATACATACATACAT